CTAACTTCTTTCTACCTGTCTCTGTCTTAATCCCGTACCATCATCCTTATCGCCTCCAAACCAGTTGCCGGGCGCCTGCCAGGGCATATGAATGTGCTGTTGGCAGAGGCACATGTCCCGTATGACATTACGCACGAGATGGACGAGGTCAACCCCGACTTCCCCGAGACGGATGTAGTGCTAGTTATTGGAGCAAATGACACCGTAAGTGTATATAGACGAATGTAATGCTAGATAGTGGGGAAAATGACACCGTAAGTGTATTTAGACGGATGTAGTGCTAGTTATAGGGGCAAATGACACCGTAAGTGTATTTAGACGGATGTAGTGCTAGTTATAGGGGCAAATGACACCGTAAGTGTATATAGACGGATGTAGTGCTAGTTATTGGGGCAAATGACACCGTAAGTGTATATAGATGGATGTAATGCTAGTTATTGGGGCAAATGACACCGTAAATGTATATATCCGGTGGAGTGCTTGGGAGTTGTGACTGTGCATGTGTTGGTGTCCTTGTCTATGTGTATTATTCGGCATTCAACTCAATGAGGACTTTCCTGAGACGGGTGTAGTGCTGGTTGTTAGGGTTTTGGGGGTTTAGGGTTTAGTATATTATTCGGCACTCAGCGCATGGTCCGCTAATATTACACACGAGATAGTCGAGGTCGATGAGAAAATTCCTGAGACGGGTGTAGTGCAGTGTATTGGTGCGAGTGACACAGTAAGTGAATATACTTGAAGCAGTGTGTACGCTATATGTCTGTGTTGATACCCCTGCTTCTCTGTATTTATCTGTGTATGTTGTTGGACGAGAGGCGTAGGGCACATATCAGTACAGCCCAACAGCAATGAATGAGGTGAACCATTTCTCCACAGAGACAGGTGTTGTGCGGGGTATTGGTACGAGTGACATCTTAAGTGTCTACATTGAAAGCACTGTGTGTAGTATTGTGACATGGACTATAGAATGTATCTGTGAATACGTTTATGATAAATTCAATAGTCAATAGAGCAATTATCAATAGGTAAAGTCAATAGTTTCTGTGCTTTGATTTCAATGGCATACCTCAGACTTACATTATCGCACAAAAACGTTACCTGAACGCGTACCAACTCTAGTTTTATCGTACCGCTCAGGCGATTCAAACGGCAAAATATTCGGAATACGTGTGTATTCCATGAGAAGCATGTTTATACGCATAAGTGTGCACAGACACTATACGAATTGACGGGATATTTAGTTAGTACAATCAACGGCAATTGACACCGGCGCCCCAAGACTGGTAGTGACATTTCTGGCAAGATTGTCTATGCTACAATATTATTTTCCAATACTTGTTCCTTGAATGGTCGTAATCACAAACTCTACAACACACTTATTGTGGATACTTCAAACGAGTTTACGACCAACCGAAGGCGAACCCATCAGCCCAAGATATTCACATTTGTACACCTGGTGTATTTATATATGTTGAGAAAGTTACTGTTCCAAACGTTAGTGTACGGCTTACCGAATTATATACACACTGTACACCTCCTTTGGCCTAAGCAAAATGGCCATAGTACCATACGCAACTCTTGATAGTGACACAGCTATTACATTTCTATATATTTAAACAGGCACATTTTTACGCGTGCGTTTGTTCATAAACTTTAACATCTATTAATAAATATATCGGAAATACTACTCACCACAGGTAAACCCAGCAGCCCAAGATGACCCTGACAGTGACATAGCTGGAATGCCTGTGTTGGAAGTATGGAAGGCCAAGAAGGTGGTTGTCTTCAAGCGATCGCTTGGAGCAGGATATGCCGGTGTTGCCAACCCTTTGTTTTATAAAGACAGGTAGATGAGTTTATAGTGCTATATATATATATATATTATATTATATTATATATTTGATAGATATATATATATA